GCTTACTCCATTCTGATTATTCAAGAGTGACCTTCCCCATGAAGATTGCCAAGGATAGACACGAATCTCATGGTTCATGGAGTTCAGCCCAGAACAGAGGCTTCAGAACAGGATATCATTCCCCTTTAATACTCAAAAAGCCCTTTCATAAGAGCAAAGTTTTCTTTAGAGCTGAAAACTGAACAACAGGCTCAGAACATTTCAACTATAAACTCCTTACTGGCAACAGCAAAAAAAGCTCCAACTGTTGAGATGCGTTTGTCAAGGAATGCTGTTCACTCTGTAATGCTGTTCTCCAGTTTCTGCTTTATGGTGCCAAAAAGTGCTTCAGCAGAAAACAAAGAGCAGCTGGGCGTGTGCAGGTGAAGAACAAGGTCTCACAGGGGAAAACATCTCTCAAAAAAAGAGTACTTTCAAGTCTAAAAATAAAACTGTCCACATCTCTAAATAATCAAAAAGAAATTAGGGTAAAATAAATTTAATCATACAAAATTCTCTTTTAACCTCCATTTGAATAACCCAACTTAACTACAGCTCCAAACCCCTGGCAGTTCTGTTTCCCTAATCTGGATCTAGTAATTAATGACTGCAAACCACACAGAAGATTATCTGTGCTATTGCCAGGGAACAGAAGGGAAGCAGATCACCTCTGTCAGGAGGAGTTTCCATACTGGATTAAGCTTATCAAGACTCAAAAAACTATGTCATTCCAAATATAAAAGCCAGAAGACTTTGGGTGGTTTTCATGTTGTGTAAGACAGGAAAGTGTGTAAATGTATAAAGGCAGGGCTACAAGTGAAGGCACTTTGATCTCCACATACTCTCACCACTGTTTTCCCTGCTGGTCAAAGCCCCACACACTCCAGGTGTGGATGTGTCCCACATCCCTGTGGGGGGGGGAAACACCCAGTCGGTGTTTCTGTAGCTTGGCAAGGAACACATTTCCTGGTCGCTTATCTCCCGAAATGACAACACAGACATTTGAGAGAACATACAACAAATTCTCATTATTTACTACAAATATATAAAAACCGAAGGGAAATCAAATCGAATAACTTGACTACATGGAAGTTATGAAACAGTTTGTACTTTATACACAGCGTATGTACACTGGTCTTGGAAATGGGGGGGGGGGGTTATCCATGCAAATTTAATACAAAACGCTATTTACAAAAGAAAGTAAGAGTAAGAACATTTTTCAAAAGAAACATGTATGTTGGAAGCTCCAGTAATAATGGAAATCCTGAAAAAAAAGGCTTAATACAGTATAGTACAAGTAGACAATCTTCAGAAGTGTGGGAGATGCACTTTACAAGAACATGAAATGCAAAACAAATTGAAATGCACTATCAAAAATTTTCCAAGTATATACACAATTTGAGCATCTGTTTTTAAATGATCCCTCTCCAGCTGTGCCTCAGAACTTCTTCTGCCATGTCCTGCACACATTTCCATATTGACCATTTGGTTACACTGCATTTTCTGAGTTTTATAACCACGAGTTACAAAGTAAAATAACTGAACACCAACTGAATGGTAATTGCAAATCAACCACATTTTCCTTGTTCTAGACATTACATAAGAGTAAAAAGTATTCACATTATTCCCAGTGCATCCCACCAGACCACCCTTTTGCAATACACCTGTGCATGCCCTTCCTGGGAATCCCAGCCTGGCATTACTGCTGGTGCCACAGCCAGCAGTTCCCAGGGCTGCAGCAACGCTTCCTGGAACACATCCTTCCAAAAAACACAACTGGGTCAACATCTGCAAGTGAAGAGCATGAGCCTGCACGTGCTCCAGAATGCACATCAGCACTGAACAGCTACTGGGAGTTCCCACGGCAGGTATGGCACGACCAGACCCTACACAAATATAGTCATTTTGGAAATATTTCACTGGTTCGTTCATTCTAAAAATGAAACAAAGCAAAAAAAGTATCCTTGTGGCATTTCTCAGTATTTTACAATCTGCCTCCATAAAAGTATTGGGGGGGAAAAAAAAAGGTTTGTTTGCTTTATTTTACACGATTTTGGAAGAAGTGAGGAAATCCTCATCAGCGCCAAGAATTCACTTTAAATGAATGATGTAATGTTGTAGCTGAGTTACAAAACTATCTTTTGAGGGAAGTTCTGGTCTCACTGAAGTCTTACAATCACAGACTTGTTTAGGTTGGGAAACCTTTGAACCGACCAAGTTCAACTGCAAACTTAGCACTGCCAAAATGAAAAGTTACCCAAAACAACTAAATTTGCTGCCAGTCTGAGCTATCCTTCCCCTTTAGAGTTTGCTAAGATACTACAGTAACCACGGAAAAACTTTTTGGTTTTTGCTTCTTTGAAGGTTAGGATTCTCAAATGGGTATGTAAAAAACACAATGAAAATTCCTCTTCGAAAATTTAGTCAGCTATAAAACATTTGAACTAAAAATGACTGATTGGAGGATTTTATGATAACTTGTATTCCTTCGAAGGAAATTAATCAGCCACCTTACAGCAATTCTGCCTCCCTTTCCCTCTCATGTTAAAAAAAATTAAAATCAAAACCAGTGAGAAAACAAATACTTCATATAACCACAATTTTAAGATGCTGTCAAATTGTACTACGTGAAATATTTAAAGACAAATAAAGCAAGTGGCAATTTATTATGTAAGAAACACAAGAGCCAGAGCTGCTCTTGTACAGGTTTAAACTGGATTCAGTTAATCACATATATTCTCTATTTTAACAGTGAAGAGCAGCAGAAACTTTCTTGACAGGAAGGGAGTAATTTACCTTCACATTTATTTTACAAAACCAATCTGTACCATGAAATTCATTAAAAAGACACACTTCACCTTTCAATCTATAAATGAATGACACATACCCCAGTGTGCTGATACACAGAACAAACCCAGTAATACTGATTTCACTCCCTCACATGAGAGCACAACGTGAGTTATGTCCTTGGACATCTACACTTTGCCTTTCCCATTCCTGGTCTGAATGAACTCTTTTTTTTTTTTTTTTTTTTTAATCTCAGTGTTGTGTATGTACACACACATTAATTTTATTGAGGAAGCAGGGAAATCTGATCTGCAGATATAAACCCACCTCTCCTGCCTGCAGGAAGTGCTATAAACACCCCCAGGTTGCCTTCTGTTGAAATCAGTTGGATCAGCTCCCTTTCAAACAAGCATTTAAGGAACCAGCAGAAGGAAGAATTGCCAGACGTTCTTCCTTCTCTTCAATACCAAGACACATGGAAGTTCTCTCCTAGTGAAAACAGATGTGTTTGAATTTGGCAACACATTTATGTCAAAAATCTGAGGAACCTGCCACTAAACGATAGCTGAAATAAAGTTTTTAGTGCAATAAATAACTGATGGTTGTCCTCACCCACAATTTTACTAAGGTAACACAGTTTCACACTGTATGAAAGCTGTGCTTCAATGTAATTTTTCCTACCATCTAAATACTCTATTTGGCATATCAGAAAATTTGTATTAAAGAAAATGGATCAGTGTAACATTTTACAGATTCCTTTGACTTACCAGACATCACTATTTTCATTTAAGAATTTGACAATGAAGTCTGCTCTTGTCATACAAGTTTAAGCCATGTTTGCTTTGGGTTCCAGCTCAGGTGTTTCATAAACGAGAAAGGTAAAAATCTTTACTGAGGTCAGGACTAAAACTTGCCTCGATTTCACTAAGGCTAGGATCAAAAAATAAAAAAAAAAATTCTTATGACTCATCTCATAGTTATTTATCGTTTCAAATGAATTGCTCCATGTTTTACGACCATAGTTCTTGGTTAGATTTTGGAAGGCCTCCAGATAAGCGGGTATAGATGGTTTCCTGCATGCCCAGCAGTGCCCCAGCTGGCACTGGAGTAGCAGTGCCAGAAATGGGAAACACTTCTGACATTAAGTGTGGGAAATCACCCCCTTCACAACAATTAATGCCACTGCTTTAAGATCTCACCATATCTGGGACATTATTGCTTAAATGAAAGATCATTCATAAGTGACATACTGCATCCTATGACATAAAACAGAAGAAATACAACAGGCCAGAAGCCCTGTCACTATGCTGACTCACTCTCTTAATTTACAATTCATCCCACATTATTGCAGTGGCTTTGAAGAGCATTCACAATAACTAAAGCACCCTGGTTAACTCAGGAGAACTTAAGGCAGCTTCCTGAAGCTTTTAATATTGACTCTTTTTCATGCCCTATGTAAAAACTGAGCAACTGCAACAGGAACTGAGCAGGCCCCTGGTTTTAAGAATCCCATCAGCTGTAGTAGGTATTGGGGATGGCATCACATCCTGAACAAAACAGAAGGGTATCTCAAACACTGTACATGTTTGGAGCAGGGATTCTGGAACCACAGTATTCACCAGAGCTACTGGTGAACATAAAGAGGAGGGAGGAAAGTGGCTGGCACGCTACATCAAGAGAATTCCTAACATTTACACTGTGGTGTAACTTTATAAAATTAGTTCAATAAAGAAAAAAGCTACTCTGAGATCAGAAAACTTATTTAAATATGACAATGAAATAGTGGAGATCAGTTAGAGACAGAAAACTGACAGTGACAATTTATAGTTCTCAGTTCTATGGCTCACACTGAACTAGAACTTTGCTCTGGTATCAGCAACAACGATGAAATGAAAGACAGGAACTTACTGGTTTTGAATGGCTGGGTCCTTCAAATGTAGCAGGCAAGCATTTTGCTTAGTGACTTATATTACTTTTTTGTTTTATTTCTTGCATGACTTTTTAGATACTGCCTTGAATGAAATTAGAGACTAAAGTTGTTAAAATGACTATTAAGGAATGATTCAAAAACCAGTTAAGAGAGATTGGAAATACCTTATTTCAAAGGTCAGAGCAATCCAGTTTGCTTAAACACATATTTATCTAGCCTAGGATTTATTATTTATTTATTAACTATTACACATATACCAGTTTGTTTTAATGGATTTAAAAATAAGTTTTTGTTTGTTTTTTTTAACTTTTCATAAGAAAAAGGATTTTTCCTGTCAGCTATTGACTTTAGGGACTACAGTAGAAGGAGTACAAAATACTCCTCCATCATTCTTTTATGAATTATATTACAATTGGAAAGAACAGAATGGAATCAAATCTTGTTACGTGCTTGGCAAACACATCCCTCAATCGAAAATAATCCAATATATAATTGAAAATAGAAAATAATAATCGAAACAGAATATAATAATCGAAAATAGAAAATCTATGACAGTCAAAACGTTGTTTTTAATTGAGCTACCTATTCATGAAGAACAAGCTAACACAAACAGATTTCCTATTAAATTTACGGAATTATTTGCAATTTTCTTAGAGAAGAACTCAACTGTGCATGGTTTCAGAACATTCTCAAAACACCAAGGATTTGTGCAGAAGCAAACAAACACAAACTCAGAAGTTTCAAAAAACCACCACAGTGGAAACTTTTCCTTCTCACATTTTTGCAGAAAAATCTCCTGTCTCAGCACAGTGACGTTTCTACAAACTGAGCAGAGCGCTGTGCCACACTCGTGCAGAATTACACAAGAAACCCCATGAGCACTAAAGAGAAACACTGATACTTCGCAACTCAATTATGGATATACCTGTTGTAAAAATGTAATGTGAGATCAGGAGCAACGTTACACAAAATCCTGAACGTCACAGCGTAAACCTGAGATTTTGGCAGTTTTATCAAAATGTCCTAAATTACTCTGTATGAATCACTAGTCCTCATGTCTTAATCGTTGTATTTGTTTGTCCCAGACAAAGAAAAGTAGACAGCTTTTTTTCTTTTTTTGTCCAACAATACATTAAACCAAAAGTGATTAGGTATTATCAAATTAAATATCATAAATAAAAAGTATTTACAGTATTTTCTAATTATTAGACAACAAATAACCAATTAAATTGTGCAACAAACTTAAAACACCCAACATCAAAAATGTGAAGTATTACTTAAACCTTCACATAGTGATTTTACAAAAAAACTATTAAAATATTAAAAAATTTCCATTGTATCTATTTTAAACAAAGAAATTTCAAAAATGTTTAAGACTATTAAGAATTATCAATTACACAGGCACTTCACATGTAAACAATCTACAGTACAACTTAAAAAAAATATTTGGCACCAACCTAGAAGACTGGAAAAACTCAATAAAATGTGTCCTTTTCCCATTGTATGCTTTGTGTAATCACCATACACTCAGACTCAATACTGGCAATGTTAGAAGTGCGTAAAAGTTACAATCAGGAGTGCAAAAAAAAAATAAAGAACGCAAATATTAAGCTTTCAGAGAGTGAAAGTGGATTACAAGTGATCAGTTGCTCATCCTTACCATCACACCATGGCTACATTTTTGTCTTACCTTTAAAATCAAATGATTGACTCAAGAGATTAAAGTGACGGGGGGGGTGTGCTTTGTACTTCTCAAATAATTCAAACATTTTCGATGTAAAAAAAAGAAATCCAGCATTTAACTGTAACACTGAGATGTTAAATGGCAGCTTTTAACTTAACTAGAAAGAGAACCTGATGCTACCACGATCTCTTTGTACATCCAATTACGAAAGAACGAAAGATTAATTATGGTCTTTCAATTGTGAACTGACTCCAAGGTTTTCACACACAGCTCCAGAGTAAGGCTCTCTACAGCATCTGGACAGATATTAGTTTTTGATGGCTTGGGTGTTCCCATGTAGGAGGCTGAAGTGCCTCAGAGCAATCCATATCAGCAGAGCAAATGGGAAGTTGTTGAGCTTCCAAGAAGCCACGTCACACGGAGGAAAGCTGAGACACTTTCAACGCCGGCAATTCAAGCAGAGCTTGAACTGTGAGGCCAACCTTCACCAGACCCCTCTCCTCCAGGATGTGATGAGGCAGGCAAAGTCTCTCCTGCAAAATAACACACTGCATTTAACAAGTCACATCCATGTTTGCCCAGGGCTGTAACAAACACATTCTCTCTGATGTCACACATCATTAAGAGGAAACATCTTTGGCCTTAAATTTCGTATGTGGCTCCCCACAGTGACAGAATGAGCAGAACCTTAGAGTTGAGATCTGTGCAAAGTGTTAAACTAGGAAAGCCTCAGAAGATACATAAAAGATTCAAAAAGTCAAAAGCTGTTTCTTTTCATAAGCAGCTCAATAAACACCAGCTGATGGGTGCTGTTGGCTCAGTGGCTTTCTTCCCCCTTCCCTTCTTTTGTAGACTCAATATAACTTTTTCCCTTGGGAAAACCAGGAAGTGCTGACAGAGTCAATAATGATCCATTCTCCAAAAAAGTCATCTTTCAGTTTCAAAATGCAGCATAAGCTGGACAATTTTCCAGACTGCCAGCTGGTGCTACAAGTACTTTGGGAGGTTTATCTCAGCATCTCTGACTTCTGAAGGGCCTGTGATTCCATACTAGACAGAAGCTGTGGCAGGGCAGTAGCCCAGGCTTCTGAACCCATGAAATAATTTTCTTGTTGCACTAAGAAGGAATCAAGGGAGGTTTTTTGTCTCATGATATGCAGGAAATGGTTGACTCCTTAATTTTTTTCCCCTCATACAAGGAGGTAAGAGGATAAACTTGAGCAACATAAGCACAAGTAATGGACTGCAACTATGGCTGTGCTAAAAAAGACAGCTACTCAGACAGGCTACAGACTTCTGTAAATGCTGGATATTCCCCGAAATTCATGCCAAGTGAGTTGCTAAACTCAAGACTTTCAAATATTAAAACTTCACCCTCTCACATCAGTTCTTTTGTTAAGGTAACAATTTATTTTACAAGGAGATCAGTAGTATTTTTACTGTGAGGAACTACCCCCAAGGCTCCCAAGCATTAGCTGACATTTTCTGTGGTTATTCATAAGTCAATAAAGCAATCAGTACCTGTGGAACACCCAGTTTTTTACAAGCATCGAGAAAGTTTTCAACATTTCTTCGGCACTTTGCCATGCTGAGTTTAGGCTGTAAAGACAGGATGTTAGATCTTCATCAGACATTTGTGACGGACTGTACATTTCTGATGTCAATTCACTTACAGTTGCTAAAACACATTCTGTGAATAACCAGTATGTAAAAATAGCTTTTAAACTAAACATCTGAGTCTTGTTTAATGCTCATTCCAGAAAAACCGAAGAGGGGAGTTCGGCAAATTAATATGGTAAACATGATTCATGATGTTTTAGTATTGAAATTCAAAAACTTGCTCTCATAGCAAGATGTAAGAGAAGTGAGATAAATGACCTACCACTGCTGGCGATGGGACGTGAATGCTGGCAACAGATCGTGGCCTTATGTGATTGGCTAAATGGCAAAGAACCACCCCATCCATCAACGCTGCTCCGATGTCATCTGGCAAAATCACCTTCAACCTTGACTCAAGATTCTATAAAAAAGGACATAACTGAGTTACTTTCAGCGTTAGCTAATTTGGAATTTTAAACCCAGGGTATTTTAAAGAAGTTTAAAAGGAACGTTTTAATACAAAAGTAAACGGAGTCAGTTTACACTTCACTGAGTATAAATGCACTTTTCTCCTTCTTACCCTTATATTCCCTTTGTTTTGCTGGGTTTTTCTTGTTTTGCCTTTTTTTTTTTTTTTTTAAATTACACAATTGAGAAAAACATTCTACCAACAATGACCAGGATACGCAGCTCTCAAATCCACAAAATGAACTCACTATCTGTTAACAGGAAAGCACAGAGCTTTAAGGACAGGAATGTCATACTCAATATATCATCAGTATATATCAGTATACTCAATATCACTTGTGCAGATGACAGTTAAATAGCGCAGGTGGCCACAAAGTGTCCACTCTTGCGTTGCAAAATGGAGGAGGCAAACAATGATTTTCCCCACCCCAGCAAGACTTCACTTCTTAGGAAGTGAACCAGACAAACAGAAACATCCTTCCCAGGAGTCACACTGCAAATAAGTGCTGAACTGTTATGATTCAGTTAATTGTAACTGTTAAATTTTATCTTGAGAACAGAACCACACAGAAAATTACTTATTGGAAATCTGAAATGCAGATCCCGTTCAGTGTTGTGTAACTTGTAGTGACACTCAAAAAGCATTTGGCTGTTCAGGAAATCATCATCATTTTTCTTCAAGTCTCAGGTCAAACAGTAGCAAACACAGGCAGACTTACTGTCTCCCTAAGA